CGTCAAGCCTCCTCTCAAAGGTATCCTGCCTTGCCCTTATGCTCTGTACCTCGGTTTTCAGCTCCGTAAATGATGTCTTCTGATCGAGCATTAGTTGGGCAAGCATCGTCTTGATGTCTGCTTCTTCATTCTTTGCCGGTGGAGGAGCTCGGTAACCCTGATTCTGTTGCCCGTATCCTGGATTCTGTTGTGCATATCCCTGATTCTGCCCCTGAAAACGTGACTGAGTGAAGCCCGGGGGATTCTGAGGGATTCTGGAAACGCCCTGTTGCTATGCATTCAATGCTCCGCTCAGGTTTCCGTAGGAGAAACCAGGATGGTTCCTAGGCGCGTTCGGGTTGTAGAGATTGGAAGGATTCTGGTACTGATTCCTTCTACGTAGTTGACATCCTCAACCGGTTCTCCCTCTGATGTGGCCTGATCAACCAGAAACATGCCAGGCTGGACTTTCTGCGAGATAGGCGTACTCTTGAGTCCCATGTGCTGCTTAATTGCCGATAAATCTAACATGACCGCTTTCAAAGCAGCGGACTCACCCAAATCTATCCGTCCTGTAGAGCGTCTGATGCTATCTCCTGGCATCCCTCTTGCCTTGGCCATCTTTGCAATCTGCATCTCTAGGGTGTCAAATGGAATGTCGTATACACTCCCTCCACAAGCTGCATCCATCCATGCTCTAGTATCATCTCTCAGTCCGTGGATGAATGTGGAAAGCAGCAGTCGCTTATCCATGCCGTGGTGTGGACAAAGGCGTTGGTAGCCTTTGAATCTTTCCCATGCGTCGTATAGACTCTCATCACTCTCTTGAGTGAAGCTGTGTATGGCTCTCTGTGCAGCTCGGGTCTTCTCTAGGGAGTAGTATTTCGCCATGAATTGCTCCTCTAGCTCCTCCCATGTCGTAATCGAATTTGGCTCAAGAGTGTAGAGCCAATCTCTTGCCCGACCCATCAGTGAAAAAGGAAAGGCCTCCAAGTATACATCTTCAATCGTCATCCCTCGTGCCTTTCTGACTGATCTGCACAACATCTTGAACTGAGTCAAGTGAGCAATGGGATCCTCTGTAGGCCGCCCTCTAAAACTCGCCTGACTGAACATCGTGATGCACTGTGGCGGTAGCTCAAAGCTGTCTATGGGCGGACGGTTGATGCATGATAGGAGTTGGGTGTGCTTCGGTGCAATGTAAGAACCCAAAGTCTCCTCTGCAACGTAGGTAGCTTCGCCCTCGGTCTGCTGATCATAGAGCGGATTCATGTGCTCTTGATTCTCTTGATGCTCCTCATCATGAACCGCATGGTCATGTTGATGGTCGTGCGAACTACTCGACCTCGACATAGCTTCTCTTCTCTGCTGCTTTCGGATGTCTCTCAAGGTACGCTCAATCTCTGGATCGTAGACTAGGTCTTCTTTCCGAGTAGAGCTCCGTGTCATGCACTAGAATCCTGCAAATCGCAAAGAAAAAGAAGAACTCGAAACCAAGTGAAGCCGCAAAAACCAAAGAAAGAAAAAAAAAAGAAAACGAAAACAAGCTAAGATCTAGAATCAATAAAGACCTAGAAATAGGCTAACCAGTCCCCGGCAACGGCGCCAAAAAACTTGATACGTGTGTACCGAGTCTAAAATCTATAACCCGATTCACAACTCACCGCAAGGATACGGATCGTCGTAACACGGGGTCGAACGCAAGGACCGGTTGCTAAATCTAAACCCTATTCGAAACTAAATCAAAGCAAGCAAGTGAAAGTAATGGTGAAAGTATGTGGAATCTAAAATAACTAAAATAGGAAAGCAAATAAAAACGTGTAACTATCAAGCAAAGATGACCGTGGGTGTCGGGACCGTATTCGCGTGTATGGGTACATGCTAAGCATGCGAGAATCACGATATTGAATCTGTATTCGGGAATCGTCAAGCAACAAAAATAGAGAAATCACCTCCCGGCATATAACTCACTATCTAAAGTTCTCTAAATCCATATCCCTATGTGATTTATCAAACTAGATGCATGAAGAACACTATCATCAATCCTAGATCGATCAAACCATATTCCTATGTGAATAATACGATCTATTCTATCGATTTCGATCCGAAACTAAACTCATATTTCTATGTAGTTCAGAATCTGAAACAACTGGCCAAGGGGTCAACAAACACCAATCGAATAAAGCACCGATAAAACCGAAACAAATCAAAATCGCAACCAAGTTAGGGTTCAAACATACCCAAAACACAAACGAATCCCTAACCCACAGCCGTGGATCTACTCACGGTTCATAGAAAACAATAGAAAGAACAGAGAAGAAGAGATAAAAGAGAGGAAAGAAA